GGAAATTAACTGGGTAAATTCTACGCCCAAATGAAATTTGTACAAAAACCGAAATAGTAAGTTTCGCTAGACTTGCGATGAATGCAACTAACTGCAGGATTTAATGGCACAGGCCAGCAGTAATTTTACGCTGGCTTTCATAATTACGCCATGCTATCATAGCACAATTCACTTAATAAATTTGAACCATTTGCCATAATATTTTAGGTGAGAGTGATCTAAGAATGTCGGGAAAGTTCTGCTTACGTGAAGCCTTTTTTACTTGCTGGTATTTTGTTTACGACTTTTGTCTTGACGGAAAAACCTGTAATTACCCAGGTTATGTTGGATGCAAATGGTTTTTGTGCTAATTGCGGCATTTGTGGCATTTTCTGAATTTGGTTCCATTGACAAAAGGTTTCGATCTACACACTACATTAATGAATCAGTGGATACAGACACAATGCCCCTTTAAAGTAAATACACTCAATTTTAAAAACTCCAACCAACATGAGCATCTTAAGCAATATATTTTGTTTAGGTTTTGGTATGCCATTAGGATATTTATCTGAACTAAGCATCGAGAAAGCCATGATCTAAAAAACGTTGACCTTTCAACAATGGAGAAAATCTACATAAAAGGTTAAAGTGAAGTCGCGCAAGTATTTGTTAGGTGGTCGGTCATAATTCTAAATTGTTTCACGGTTCGTGAGTAGCATTAGGTTTAGATTGCTGCCTTTATCACAGAAATATATACAATTATGCGATATTTGAGAGTATTTGAAACGTTAGCGACAAGGAAGAGAAAACCAGTATTCTTAGAAGGAAATGTGATAACTTAAAGGGCATGCGGAATAGCTTAAGCACAGCAATTCCGATATGTGTTAGTTTGAAGTAAGAAGTATGACAATGAATTTGAAAGAAAATCCCACGATCACACTTGTGCTACTACGGTCAAAACAATGTACTCCCGAGCTAATACAGGTCATCTACATTAGTAAACATTCTAAAAGGGAAAGGTTATCAGTAGTATTTTCAAAGCTCGACGTCTAAAAACCCATTTAAAACATTATGCAAACGACTCAAGCCACAAAGAGAGTAAATAATTAAAGCTAAACTTATTAAAAAATTTCGGACGTTGTTTCTTCAGCACAGCGATGAGTTTTTCTGGAGTTTCTCGGATTGCTTGCCAAATGTGTTATATAGACTTATTAAACGACAGTACCAAGTATTGTATGATGTTTGGTTTTGTGATAGCTTAAGACCTGTGCAAATTGAATCTATTTAAGTGCATGAAATTAAAACATTTTTGCCGTTTGAAATATCTGATATCATCCAGTCATAGCCAAGTTTTGTAAAATGAAAAACTGGTTTGAAAATTGGCACGACACTCCTTGTATCACAGGAAATAGACAATATCATTTTTAATTTTCTCATGGAATCAAACTTATAGCATTTCCTAAAATTGTGTAGATACATAAATCTGGCCACTTTAATTTAAATGCTCAAACACGCTATCTACTTATATTGGAAGAAATAGGTTGCTAGATTCTACAAGCAACTTTGCCCTCTTGTATGTGCTTTTTCAGTAATTCCCAGATAGGCGTCAGATTTGCTGTGGAATTTCGGATTTAGCTTTTGAATTTATTAACGCTCAACATTGCTTCCATGATAAAAAATTCCGAATATTAGCGGCTGCATTATGAAATAAAAAATCTAATGGTGAAACTCAAAATACTTCTAAATATTTACACTAACTTAAATAGCAATTTAACATGCATAATAGTGCAGAACAAAATTTTGTAAAACTGTTTTGAGCCCCAGCATGTGGTCTTGAACCACGCCGGGGAGGCTGAATCAACCCTGGTCCTATTGATCTTTTCTGGCATTCGCGATGGAAAAGCAAAAGACCGGAGAGGACGTGGACACAGCCGTTTACTTCAGAGCTCAGCCACGTTGGTGTAGTTGTGTCGTGGGTGGGGTTTGCGCTTGAGTATTTATACCTGTGCCGGAGGCTAAAGTGATCGGATTAGGAGTGTGAATCAACGCGATTCACAACAAACCTTTCAACCGCTAAGAACAAAACTTTCTTAAACGGAAAAACTTGTAAAAATCACAAATTATTCATTTAAAACAAATTCTACGGATAGAATTTTTTATGATCAGAAGATGTACAATCCTTGAAATCTGTCTTCCAATATTTGCACAATAATTCACAAACGCTCCGAGCTGATCCTTGTACTCCTAATGGTTTGTTTGTTTTAATTATGTAACAGCAAACACGCCACTATTAGGATTAATAGCTCTCATGCCATCACCCCTACTTTTTTTCTCAGCAGTGCAAATGCTCTAAACATTGATATTTAATCCAAACGGACTAGGTAAAGATTTGAACATTAGGAATGGAACACATCTAGCTTTGTTCGTTGCAGTGATACTTCTTGTTTTCTATGGTGCTTAAGTAATTTTCAATATTATTTTTTTACGTTAGGTAATTATACCAAAAACTGGCGCTAATTTGGTGATGTTGAAATAACTGCACAAAAGCTACATGTTTTGCCTTTTCTAAAACCCAAAAATGACTTGGCATGTGTAAAGCGTTGTACACCACTTTAAAGGGGGAAAATGAAATATTAAATGTGACGCTTTTATTTGGTCTGCATTTCTTGTTTTTTGGCATCAAGTGATTTTATATCTTAATTTATACCCATTTGGTAATGCTTTTAATAGCTCATACCAACGCTCTTAACTACATTTTACCAATGGGGTCTGCGTTGTTAGAAATTATCACAAAGATGTGATCGGTCTAGTTAAATTTTGTTGTTTAACTCTTAAATATGTAATGTAGTTTTCATTTGACATTACAGCGAGTTTCTAAGGTACAGATGCTGAGGTAGAATAATTTTTTTCTGATTACTGGTGGATTACCGTAAATAGGCCGAAAGCCCCAAGTCAACGCTTACACCACCGTTTGCATGCCGATTTTGTCCTGTAAATACTTTGAGTCTAGGCTAATAGCCAAATAAATTAACGAAAAATAGTAGTTTACAAGGTTGATTTAACATCCAGATTTTAGGGCAGACAGGCAGTTTCACGTCACTTTAAACTTTAACTGCACAAATAATAGTACGTTTGCTGTGCCATTAAAAAGTTGTGGTTGCGTTATCATGATGGGCAAAACTTTTTTCAGTAACGGAGTGAATTCGCTTGCTTATTATGGCATGCTAATAAAACGTACCTGTTGCAACTGTTGGTGATGCTTAAGTATTTACCTTCATTAAAATGTACCAGTGTGACATTCTGATTAAAAGAGCCTTGACTTTCGTAGAAGTGCATCTGTTACTCGTAAAACCAAATAATTGAGTGATTATTTGTTAAAAATTTGGTTTAAAAGTTCTTTTCCCCGCGAAGTCACAATGACTACAGTGGTAAACGGAACATACAACGCAAATGCGCATTTCATGCCATCAACAAGATAAAACGAACGGACAGCTCTGTACCTTGGTAAGACCACGAATTAGTATGCGACCTGGTTTAAAAAACTCGTGAACTGGCCCATATACTCAGGCTGCATATTTCAAAACTCTGAATTCAAATCTCGGCATCTGAAATGGAACTATAGGTGTTTAAAAATACTTTGACATTGTCACTAATATATGCAACCTTACAACTTAAAAATATTAAGCTTTGCAGTGGCACCGTGCCCACAAGACAGGTTTATTTAATTTACCTAAAAAGTTGTGCTAATAAAGTTGGTTTGCGCTTTTTAAAATGAAATTAATAGAATTATAGATAAAATTTCCATGCAAATGCAATAATGCATGCAAAATTGTGCTGGATGCCCTTGAGCTCTGCCTTAATAAAAATAATATAAAGATGAGGCGTCTAGCAACGTATTTTTGACGAGCAAGCTCAATTTTGGTGCTATCTGATTGACTGTTTACCATTTCGCTCTTATTATTATTCCTCTTCTAAAAACGCTGGTCGGAAACTTCTCGCCTGAATTCGTTATGCTGAGGCACTTAATCTTGTCTATTCTCCTGTCACCACGATCAAATATAAATGTCCAATGTACAATATCAGCCTCTGACAGGCTTTTCTTCCCATTGGGCAGCTTACAAAAATCATTTTTTTAAAATTTACGTAGTCTCAAAAGGGGCAGAAAGACGTCTCGTCCAACACTAATGAAGTATGACGACTTCAGTACTTTTGTTTGTGGCAATGCTTCAAACATGGCAACATCGCATTTTCCCTAAAGGCAGTTGTCTTTAATTGCCACAACGCCTTCTTTAGAATTTTCTTGCAACAGTAGGAAGTTTAAGTGAAACAGTTTTGGGGATTGTCACCGATGTATCATCTCTTTTAGCCCCAACTCCAAAATACGTGATTTGATCTCCTCCTATCCAGAAATTTGTTTTCATGCAACTAAGATGTTGCCGCTTACAAACAATCAAGAAACAAACTCGGCGGAATATGATTCACCTCAAGACCCCAAATTCCAGTTGCTTAATCAACAATCTTTTCCTATCACCAATTTTGCACACTATTAAAGCGCACTAAATTTTCCTAGAATACCTTGTTTCATTCACCCATAAGTCAGACATAATGTGTAGTTAAGCCAGAAGCGTAGACCAACACTTTCGACTTGACCTCTGAATAGATCATTTTGGTTTCTTTGGTCAAAATAACGTCTGGTGCTGGAATTTTGGAATTACGCTTAGATCTTAGAAATAACTTTATCATTTCGACTATCTAGGCGGTCGTATATTTGTTGGTCGGTTTGTTGAGGCAATTATGGACGCGTGTTGCTTTTAGCAGTTTGCAGCTGGAGTCGAAAGATCACTAGTAGCGCTTCTTTGTTTAAGTCTGGACATATTGAAGGATCAAACACAAACTCGGAGAGGACGTGTCTGGCATTCAGTAGGGTGTCACGCACACCACTTATTAAATAAAATAGAGTTATGTACGAGTAAGCAAAATAATGGACGAAATTTACACGAAGGACGCTATTCAGCTCAGTATCAGCAATATTTACATGAGGATGACTTTAATAGGGGCTTGTTGATCAGTGCGTCAAATGCTTCCGGTTCTGTGTGCACCCGCACATCCCTAATCCATATATCCAAGGCAGTAATTAGACGGTAGGCCGTTAATTGGGGCTGCTCATCATTTTGCTCGTATGAGGAGAAATTCGTCACAGAGGTGACAACGCCTGGCTTTTCACTTATGCTCCAATCCTCCTCGTCGTCGTCACTGTTAAGGAAACCCTGATGTGGTCGCCCACCCTGAATCGAGGAGACGATAGAACAGTCCGAATTGAGCGTCTGCTCACCCGAGTCGCTGCTGGTGATGCTTTTGGAAGTATCGCTGTGGCTGCCTGAGGAGCTGCTTTGTAAAGAGCCAGGCCGTTTGAGGGTGAATGACCCAGTCGTCTGAATGGCCGAGAAGGCGCGATGCTGGGTCACCATCATCACTGACTGGGTAAATTCAAAAGCTGTTTAACAGAGCACGCGGAACTAAAATGGAGAAGTAGTCTCTTATCAAACCGTCCAATTACATGCTTAGCAAAACAGCATGTGACTCAAACGTGATGCTTTTGTTAAGAATTCTTTTTACCGATATATTTTTGTCCTGTGATATGATTCATTATTTCGAAATGTATTTCTGAATTTTACGTGCTTACATATCATTATCAGATCAAACAACTGCAGCATAAAAATGCCGCAGCTCAGAGAATCAGAGGTAGTTTCCGATGCAAGTCAACATCAGAATGCCACTACCTGACCCTGCTCAAACTACAAATTAAGCATTGCGTTTTACCCTCATAATTGCCAAATTTACTAACTCGTCAGAGGAATCGGCACTTTACTGATTATTTTAGCAAGATTTAAAAACCATCCACATGACTCAAATATTCCTCCATGTCCACTGTGTCAACAAATTAGCCAAAATTCTGCCAGTTTGTAGACTTACTGCATTGCAAACCTTGCCAAATATTACATTACAAAATTGGATCTTTGGACTAGATCGATTATCTGCAAAGAATTACCATAACATTTAGCCACTTAATTTACAGAGCTAGAAAATTGATACGCAAGCTAAAAGGCAGCCTGGTTTGTAATTTCATTTGAGCGCTAAGTTCCAAATCCATGTGGGAAGAGCCATGGGTTCTAGGGGCATTCACTAGTAGAGGAAGTGTCATTAACTCTAGGCCTTGTTTACATTTTGCATTTCTTCAAAACCGGTAGTCATGAAACTCATGACTTACATTTACAACGGTTGGCAAGAGTCTAAATTTTGGGTGAAAAAGAGCTTAACTTTCATTCCTCGGCATTCATTGTGCGTGCCATACAAGCTGATCTCGAAGGCAAAAACTTCGTGTCTCGACGGTACAACATAAAACTAACGGCACATACATTATAGCTGCCTTTCACAACACTATAAACTTAACTGACATCGTCTCAGTGGATATTTACAATTTACACAGAGCCGATAAAATTAAGAGTAAAAACATTTGCACATTTGGGCCATTTAAGCACTAAATTTTATGAAACTGATTGCATTCAGTCATGACCTAGTCATAGCAGTCTAAAATCGGTTCATTACAATGTGGTTTTGACAAGAGATTAGAGTTTTGTAAAACAAGACTTCAATCTAGAACTCAACCTGTGTTAAACAAAAATTGAACCAGGGGTTATTCGTTGTGATTATTGCTGTTTGCGTGATTTGTATAATGTGAAGTGGAACGTTAATAACAATACTAGCAATATAGCCTGCGAAGCAAATGTTGCATTAAGCAGAAAGACTTAGAAAGCTCTCATCTACCTTAAAAACTCGAACAAAAGTTAAAAAACACCACTCAATCATGCACAAGGAGTAGTGATTTCGTTAACTCACTTTGTTTGCGTGCCGATTTATTTTGTTTGCACAGCAAATAACTAGCCTAATTGTGAGCAAGACTTTTTTGTGCACCCTAACATAATTTGGATGTTTAAACATGTGTAAATTAATATTTTTAAATTAGAGACAAAATGACAATTTACGCATCATTTTGGACATGTCGCGATAGAAGACGCATTGTACCACCAGAGCCTTAATGTATGTCCGATGCATGTTACCAACTGAAAAGGCTTCGTAAAAAACAGTAAACCGCTCAATTCAAAACTGGCGAATATCTGAGGGCATAAACATCAAATTTAAAACGTACGCAAAATCCTGTTTGCCATTTTACAATTATGAATACAAACGCGTGTTGGTTATTTTTGGGTTCATTTTATGGGATTCACTGATTTTATCATAAATGCGAGAGCTTTCATTCATGACAATTATCGTATACTAATCAGGCAAAGTTAATTATGACTTGAAAACATGGTTCAACCCATCGAAAAACGAAATATACGTAAGGACTCTCCTCAAGGTTTAAAACACACAAAGGTTAATCGCAACCCGATATATATGAATGATCTAGTTATAGAAGTAATCAACAGGTAAAAACTTTGGTTCGAATAATCCACCAAATTATTCAGACTAAATGGTGTTTCCACAGGGATCAGTGGTGAAGCTTTTTGATTCGCGGCCATTAACCCGGTGGTCACAGCCTCACACACACCGCCCCCTTTTACACGACAATTTCTTCGAGCTATTTACTAAGCGATTGTGTCTCGTCCTCTCCGATCTTTGTCTTCTTCAGCTGGGGTGCCCGAGTAGCGTAACCGGGCTAGATTCAGCGCAGTGACCCCGGTGTGGTTCAAAGCAACACACCGGGACCCACAAGATTTTTTTAAACTTGAGAATAAATTTCGTAATTAGTCATGGGACTTATTAGTATCAAAAACGGGAAAATCAGTGTGAGCCATTTGCTTGAATTGGAAGGCTGCACATCTGAGCTGTGACCGCCGCCATGGGAATCTGTCTCGAAGCCCAATTTAGATTACTATGCGAGATAGTAATTGGCCAAATTTTTAGCCTATTGAAATATTGGTGCCAGTAAGTCCTAGCACAACTTCGTGACCGTGTTCGACACTGACATCCCTAATGGCCTTGAAGATTTATGGAAGATTTTTGCCTCTGACTTGGCACCACCATGTTAGCAGAATGTAGGTTATTTTACATAAAAGCGATTTACCTGAGAAAATACATTCATTATATTTCCCATCCATTTCACCCTTGGCAATAAAAAGCCACTAATTGATATCTTCTAAGCAAAGGGACACCAACTCCCCACTTTTATTTTACTATTAGCAATAACAGGTACTTTAACATCCACGACATAAGTAGCTTTTACACAAAGGAGCATTGATTATGTCATATCCTACTCTCGAATTACTAGTCAGCGGCATTTTTTTCAGGTCTAAAGAGAGCAATTGCAGACAGTCTAATCCCGTTCACTGCTAATTCATTACAAACCACAAAGTCGCTTGACTATAGCACACACCAAAAAGCCTTCTGTTTAATTACTAAACCCCATTGGCGATTGTCAATTTTTCACGAAGAATTTTATTGTCTCACCTCATTTACACGTACCCCATTTGCTTGTCAAAAAACAAAAGGTAAAATTGTGCTCAGTATTAGCCAAAATTTACCAATGAAATTGCTTCCATCGTGTAGAATTAATAGCCATTCATGCCCATTTTAAATACTGATGTGTTGCAAAAAAAGAAATAAAAACTAGACAACTTTATAGCATGCATGTAAGCTCCTATATTGTGAAATTTTTATGCTATTTCAATTACATGAGCATGCTGAAGTCAAAAAAGTTTTTTTTTTAAAAAATCACATTTCGTGTTAATGAAGAATGGTACACCGGAACGCCGATCTCCACAAACTTAGTGTGCGGAGAGAAGGCCGTCAATCAACTAGAATGAATTTAACAAAAAATGATGGACTGTGAAAACTAGAAATATTGCCGGTGCATCAACATTTTAAATAGCAGAGACCTTTCAGTTCCACTACTGTTGTTTCTAATAACAAGGCAGCTGTGGGTAAAAACAATTAGCAAAAAACTCAAGATAATTAACTTAAAATGGGTCTCTAAAAAGAAGTTCACACGAAAAATCGTTATTATAAAGTACGGTAGTGCTTCAGAAACTGTCACAGTTTAAAGTTTCAAATTCCATTGAACTTTGCATTGCAATGTAGCATGGATTTGTTGCGAATCCCGTTGATTCACACACGTTAACCTGGTCACTCCAGCCTCCGACACAACGTTCCCCTTTTCACGGCATGTCGTCGGCCCTGTGTTACCTTAATTCCTCCCTCATTAGCGTAAACGATTATCCTGAATTAGCACTACACTTGATAACTTTTACCTAGGTCTCGACGTCAACGTATTTATGACTCACGTAGTTTCGCACACGCGCGCAAACGCCATCAACTTGGCTGAGCTGTAAAGTAAACGACTGTGTCCATGTCCTCTCCGGCCTTCTTTTTCATTGCGAATAGCATAGGAGCGTAATCGGGCCAGATCCAAATCAGTGCCCCCGGCACGTTTTAAAACCATATGCTGGGGCCCACAACAGATTTTCAAACACCATTTTATTAAAAAGCTTAACCAATACATTCCATCCTAGGTAAATTATCAAAAAGTTATGCTTTCTTTAACTAACAACCATAAAGTCCTCACCCTGACGAACACTCGACGGAGCGCTTAGTTAATTCATCCATCAAGTCAATAAACCTCCTGCACACACACGAAAAAATTGCCATCCAAATGCTCTTTATTTGAATTCACCTGCGAAAAGTCTTTTTTTCAAACCACTTACAACTTAATTTTGTGTTCAATTCTTCAACTAAGCTGTTCCTGCTCTTGGTCATCCATAAGGTATTTTCTCGCGTACGTCGACTTGCATTAACAGATGCGAATTCAATGACACGCTGTAGGTCGTTATTCTTTTATAGGTTTTTGCAGTGAATTACCGTTTCTCTCAGTTAGGCATCGGCAGTTGTACAACAATTAAGTGTTATTTGTTGCATTTTTTTGTCTGCCAGCGCCAGTCTGCTCTGTGTTTACGAGTGATATGAATGGCAAACTAGTAGGGTAGCGAGATAGCACAACTAAAAAATTCTATGACTTCTCCCATTAGTCTTTCAGCTCATTTGTGTTTCTTAATCTAACGAAATACTACTACTTTTCGATTAATTTCATGTTTCCTAAATCTAGCATTCGCGTCATATTCTGATGATTAACCTTGTTTTCCAACTTTCCGGATGTTCACTCTACCTAAATCAGTACTAGAGGTTAGGACCAACATTCTCATTAATTAAAAGGTGCGTTTTCAAAACGCACATACTAAGCGCTTTTTGCGCAAATAAATGAATTAGACATGATAAAAATTGATTTTATGTGCAAACATAGGTGGGTTTAATATTTTGTGCCTTTAACTGACGGAGTCTACCATTTAAAATAGAAATTATACGAGTGCAACCAATTAAAAGACTAAAGGCTGCATATATTTGTCAATAAAATGAATAAAAAAAGGAAGCATTAAACGTTAAAAATAAATCCTATTATCATCAAACCACAAAAGGCCCACCAGTTCCTCAGATTTTACTACAGTTGCAAACAATATCCAAAAATTAATAACAATAAATATGAACACTCTCCTTTCATACATTTCTAAAAGGAGGGTCTACGTCAATATTAAATTTACATCAATTAATAGAATTCATAAAAAACGCATAAAACACAATAGTTCCATGTTAAATAGAAGCAAAAAAGATTCTAGGGAACTGATGCTTTGACGCCACGGATTTAAAATTATGCATCCGGCAACTGCCTCTTCCGAGGGCTACATTTTGCATACAAAATGATAGTAGAAATCAGCACAAAACAAATACGGCAAAATTTTGAAATAAATTTAGTAACAAAGTTCTTGACAATTTTTCATCAAGAGAAAAGTTAACTGACCAACAAAATTAAATCTACCAGGGAGAAAGGCATAAAGTCGTGGCAAAATTGTTAGCAAATTTATTTTATCATTGCTTGTATAGATTTGAATCAGCAATAGCAACAACATGAGATCCGTCTGAGGGTTAAAAGTAGCCAAATTGGGTTACAATTGTGAAGCATACTAAGTTTCAAAAACATTCTATGAGTACTAAGGTAAAGGCAGTTATCTGTATTCAGAAGTTTTAAACATGACAAGCGACATAATAAATTATACTGCACATTCAACTTCACAAGTTGAAGCCAGGCAAACAATGTGTAATAAATTCGAGCACCTATCAATTATCAGTCAATATTACCAATAAAAAATATTTAAAAAAATTAACATTCGTACACGGTATTTGCTATTTTAAACCACAGCACTCACAATTAAACTTTATGGAAGTCCTTTTGTTACAACTGAGGGTAGCATCATGACATCGCTGCTCTCGACATTTAAGAAGAGTCCAGTTTATAACAAAAGTCGCTAAGCTTAAGTAATACTGCAATTTTGCAGTTTAAATGCATTTCGATATGGCATATTACTAAGTTAAGACCAAAAGAAAGAATCTAATTTCGAAAGCACATTCGACAACAAAAAACAACGTTATTAAATGTATAGATCGTGTTTAAATTTTATAACAAAATAAAAATACAAATAAAGCTCAAAACTCTACAAAAAGACACTAAATCAAAATAACTTTGCATTTCAGAACCTACAAGGTCCACTGACATCAAGTTCCAATAAGAGCGAGAACTCACATTTAGGCTGTCAATAAATTAAAACAATGAAGGATAGAAAAAAAATGAAGGTCTTTTAAAGATCCTAAAAGCCTCAGTTGAATGCTTTAGGAATTAGAGGCACATTTAAAAATTGTTTATATTGTGACCAAATCATACAATTAGTGATACGTGATGTAAGCACCAAATATCTATAAGGCAAGAAATAGAATTTTGCTTTATCTATCGAATTCGTATTACTCTTTTAGACACTTTTGTATGCAACAATTTTTGATTTGATGGTAATAAGAATATTTTGCTGGAGTCAAACAAAATGTCGCAAGCGCTGTAGCCAGCGGGATGTAAACAAACAGGTTTGTAAGACAGGTATATAATCATATGCAGAGCACTTTTACACAAAAACATAATTCTACCTAGTGCTGATATAGAATATAAAGTAAAGCAAGCATTTAAACAGCGAAACTGTGGCGAATTTTATACCTAGTTCCTAAACAATGTGGTATCGGTTTAAAATAATTGGTTTGTAGGTGAATACTAAGTGACAAGTCGCAACACCTAGAAACAGCTTTACACTGCCATTATTTTATCTTCTTATTTATAACAGTGAGAAATCAATGGTAGACAGTTGTCTTGGACTTGGTTCTTAATTTTTCAACAAACTCCGAGTATAAAATTTAGGCAGACAATCCCATTATTTCTTATTTAAGCAACAACTTTTTTAATGTTTGCTAAAACTAAACAAGGGCATCTTTAGTTTTTTTCCCTGTCCTATTTTGAATAGTCGCTAACCGTTTGCTATGTTTAAATTTGCTAACTGTCATTAAAATAGTAGGCAGATACGAGACAAACCTAATCCACACTTATCAAGTTAGAAGTGTTACAGCTGCTACTTAAATTAGTAGTTATGGGTATTCATATATTTGTGTTACGTTATCTGACATTCATCCCTAAGGAAAAGAGAGTCACGCACTGCTGCACATAGTTTAAGGTGCTAGTTCCTTTGCTGCATTTCCTTAGTCATCACTTGTATTTTCCTAGCTTTGTAAACATTGACTGTTCGCCTAAGAAACAACATGACTTATCTGATCATGTTTTTTTGCGTTATCTGTGCAATTTTATTAATTTTTTTTGTTGGTTTATGAAAAAATGAAGAATTTATTTGTTTTGCAAAATAGTGTGCTAAATGATAAAAATTTTGGAAACAACTTACTTATCAAAAAAGTCGCTGATTACTTATGGAAAAATTCAGCATGCAATAGTCTCCAACATCAAGTTAATGTGTCGTTCTGGGTCAATCTGTTCGCAGGTGGTTGGTTATTTAATTCAATCGTTAACAAGCGAATTATAAGCAATTTATTGGATATTCCTTAATTAAAATAAAAAACCCGTTCTTTAAAAAAAGTCTAATACAAATCCAAGTTTTCCTAATTTAATGTTGAATAGGCAACGTTGAAGGAAAATCAACACTGAATGTTGAAATTCCTGAAAAATTTGCGTTGGTGATAAGAGGAGTTATTTTCTCATGCGTGCCTTTGATATTAATTTTACGTTATTAAACACCAAATTGTAGGAGCAGGTTGAATTACTTATATTTTATCAGTAAGTATCAGCAGCCTACTTGCATTTAAAACAAGATATTTTTATTGGAAACTGTACGCATCATGCAGTTAGTGCGCCTTCTTTCAACTATGCTGCTAGTTATATTGATGAATGATTTAAATGCTGATATTTTGAAAGCGAATGCCCTTAGCCTAATGTAACTCAGAACTAGGTGTCCAAGTCAGGAACTCCAGGTAGTAGAGAAGTGAACTAACATTACATTTGATCATGTTAACCGTTGCAAAGTTTGTATGCTTCAAGAATAAAAAGCAGGGAACTAACTTTGAATGTGACTGCTTCAGGACATCTCCCATTCTAGTCCTTTCGGAAAATGTATAAAATAAAGAATTTCCAAATATCTAATGCACAGTTGAATGTCCTTGCCTACGTTAAAGTGTTCGTTGGTGTTCTGCTTACGGATTTGGGCAATAACAAAACTTTTTTTGGGGAAAAAAATGTCACTGCATTTCACGTGTCAATAAATCGTGTTTAAACTTTAGCAAAGGTACCATTACATTACATTACCATTACACGACATTTACGCTGGTAGTAAGTTCTTCTCAAGACCGGCCAAATATAGCGAATTGAAAGTAGATTTATTGTTCCTTGCTGTCGTTCGTTTAAAACCAACTAATAAAAGTTTGTACATGTTAGGATTGATAAATGCTTGCGTGTTAAATATGGTTATGCACCATAAACGTCTTCGGTTTTAGGAAATATTAATGTTCAGGTCAGAATCGTTAGAGTGCATCCTGATTGTTCGAAGCAAGACGAAATCTCCCGTGTGCTGGATTGAAAAAAGGATGGAAGATCAAGGACAGCAACTGTTCAGTGTTCTTGATAGAAAGAACTAAAAAGAACCTTAGAAAAAAAATGTGTGGCATTTCTAGAAAAGGTGTGTCTGAGTTAAATGACTACATTTTAGTTTCCCAGGGACGCAAGGCCAAGGGAAGGACGAATAAACTTCCGTCTAATCATTAACAATTATTTGTTTTTTTATTGATAAATTAAAGATACAACATTTATCAAATAATTTAACTTATTTCAAGTACGATGTACCGGGAAACTGGTAAAGTGGATCGGTGCTGGAAGCAATCGGAACCCTCTATAATTAATGCTTGTTAACCAGTAATGTAAGCGAATATTACATCCAATGCTGAATTTTTAAATTCAATAGCCTGAAACATCAGTATTTCAAATAGTATCGGCATTATAATAAGTGGCTTTTTCAAGATAACTGGTCGGAATTGTATGCGCGTCGCTTCGAATTCTGCGCTACTCTATTGGTTTGCTTTCCTGGAGTCTGTGTTAGTAACGCGCGGATAGGTTTTCCGAGATGGAAAAGGACTTCTTGACTCCCAGAGATTATGAAAAACTAGATGATGTTAATAAAATAAATGAGATAATTCGCAATTTATCGTGTTCAGACCCTGAAATTTCATCAAATGCCATAGTGGATGCTGAAAAATTATTACAGGAAATGGAAAAAAAGGAGAAGGGTAAAATATCAAATTATAACGGTTTACCAGTTTAGGTGGGTCTAAGGGTTCCATTGACAAGACATACATTAACAAGTCGTCTGCTTGTCAATCTGGAGGTACGTGTTATTACATATTAAATCTCACATTGTCTACTTTGCTTTTCTGCACATTATGAAGCCAGCTCTACTGCATGGCAGTATTTTCATGTTGCCTTAATCAATTACTGTGACCTAACTTTCAGCTTCTCGAAATGAAGACAGTACCACATGTCCTAACACGAATGGATCTGGACCTGAGTATATGTCCGTTGAGGCGTTTAAGGCCCAGGTTTCTGCAGATGCCGCTGAACGTTCTAAACTACGAGCAAAGCGCCGTGCCAAAGCGGACGAGTTTAAGCTGCAAGCAAATGAGTTTTTTAAAGTTGGAGATTGGGAGAGTGCCCTAAATTTGTACTCCAAGGCCATTGACGCTTGTCGAGACATGCCGGTTTTATACACTAATCGGGCACAAGTACGTGTGAACTTTTCCTCATTTTAAATTTATTTTTTTTGTTTTGATTGTGATGTCAAAAACGAGTTCTATTATATCAAAACCAAAAACCTTTGGTGAACTATGGGGACGTTATTTCCTGCAGCCTCTGGTTTCGGGGATATCTTGTTGCATAACCTATAAATAACGTTCAGATTACAAAGTATTTGTTTCTGCTATTATACAGGCTTATCTCAAACTCGGTCGTCCAGAGCAGGCCTTAGCGGACTGCGATTTGGCACTGCGTATTCTTCCCATGGAACCAAAGACTACTCCAACTGACATTGGTGACGACGCAGAAGCCGCATGTGCGCTTAATCAACAAGCTGCGAAAGCCTGCCTTCACCGAGGAAAAGCTTTGCTTACTCTTCGTCGCCCATGTGATGCCCTGCGTGCTTACGTTGATGCCCGTGCTTTTCGCGCCTTCGCGTTAAAACCCGCCAGCGCCGTTATGCCCGATCCCGATTCGGATGATTGGCCGCCCTTCCTCCGTGAATATGTTGCTCAAGCAAAAGCCGCGATAGCTGCTGAAAATCTTGATTCTCAAGCCTCGGCCAAACTCTCTTCACCATCCAGTACTGAGCCACTTCTTCTAAAGCCAACCGAGTGGGTAGTTTTTTAGTGAAGATGACGTTGTATACTTGCTGTCAGTCTTCTAAGTGAATTACCTTTTGCTGTGTTACTCATTTTGTTGAAAGTGGTTATTTGTATAATAGCACGGCCATTCTACATTTAACGCAAGCGAATTCCCTTAAGTGGTTTTTGACTTTTCGATACATTAGCTATATTTTTGCCGGATACATTTCTAACCACGCTCCCCGTAGTGACTTGTCATTAATTATTCAATTATTTACAAACTTTTATTTTATGATTATTTATTCAAAATGAGATTTATTGTTCGAGGACATAACTACACATAAAATGCCAATAATTGGTGCAGCAAAAAATTAATAGAATTAAAGAACCTTGAAGATGCGAAAGATTCTTTGTCAATATGGCACTGACTTTTAGAAACACATCACGATTGGGTGAAACCTGTTTAGTAAAACTGATTCAAAAGGAGTTGTGGGATACTGTTATTAATGTCAGTTTGTTTCTATTTGTAGAGAACGCTTTCTCCGACTTATAACAGAAGCCGCACTTGATGACCGTGGAATACGTGAATGCACATCCACTCTGCGTCAGATGGCTTCGTTGTTAAGTGCAGCGAATGTGGTAGCTAAACTTCCTCCGTCACCTGATAGTGAACAAGGTGAAGATGGGACCCACGAAGGCCATGAGGCTACCGATGGTGTGATCGCTCCCACCGGTGACCACCCAAAGGGGTCCAGTAAGGAACATAAGAAAAAGAAGGAAAATGGTACAACATTAAAGACCTCGATCTCTTTACCCGTAAATGAAGCTGACACCACTGCTACAATTGACGAGGTGGCCACACTAGCAAAACTGCAGTCCTACTTCCGAGTTAGGAACGGGTTTAAAGTATTGAGGTCGCAGATGAAGGTAATTATTCGGGTAGTTTATTTCGCGTTAGTATGTAATATGGTCTTTATTTCCACGCTTTTCAACTGGACTAGTGTCTACATTAGTGTCCGTTCATTTACCTTTTCCTTGCTGAGGGAAGTTTGCAAGGATACGGTTGTCTGGTCATTTTGTTGCTCCTTAGATTGACTTTTGTGATTCATTCACATCACGTTTGCTGTTAACTGCCGCAACAGAGAAATTCTCTTCAACAATAGCTATACATTTCGTTTTATCGCCGGATACCCTCATCAAAACGTGTTGTTGATACAGTCTTCGACTGCGTGATGCCTTGTACCTTGGGAAGGCGTTCTCATTTGAAACACCAGGGAAATTCTGACGTAGTCATCAAAATATTCCGTTGTCACACCGTCTGTCACCTCATGGGCACCACTCTTAACAGTGTAGGTGAAAATTCCTAGTTCACCGAATGGCCACTGATATCTCAAATAAAAGTTCACGCCACTGCCGAAATTCTCGCAAAATATATTCGCTTCACTTTGTAGTCATTATTGTACTCATTCCTTTTGGTGGCTTAAATAAAACGCAAATAACTTTATTTTCTTCACTTGCAAACTTCTAGAATTCAAATCAACATTGGATAAACATCAGAAAAGGTCGGATTAATTGATTTAGAACCCACTGAAACTAACTTTATATTTCATTGAAAATAAATGTTCTTAAATACGATCTTTGTCATATCCCTCTAATGTGATTCCTGGGTTTTCGGTTCAGTTTCTTCTTGAGTTTTCAGTAGGGATCGCGTTTGATAGAAGCATATCGCCCATTCTCGGTACCATCAGAGCTATCATAAACACTACATTACTATTTCCAGCTGTATGATGCTCCCAATATACTGAAGCAGTTCAGACGTCGCGGCGGCTATGCAGCCAAGTCGACCCCAGATGCGCAGAAGGGGGAGGATGTTTTGGCCATACTCGATCACCTACTCAGCTTGATCACTGTGTGTTACCAGCTGGCACGCGATTGCGGCGAGAATCAGCGTCTTCTGGTTGAGTCGATGCCTCAACTCTTCTCCACTTTGCTTATTGACTGCCTTCAGGTTTCGCCTTGCTATGCTCAAATCCCTACCTCCCTTTCCGACACATCTGAGTAGGTTGCAGGGTCTTACCTGTTTGTTTTACCGTTTGGAGGTTGATATACCTGATTTCATATGCGGGTTGACGTAAGAGGTCGTGTAGGTTTTATTTGTGCGATAAGTAATTCTTTTACACACAAAACCACAATTTCTGAGTGGAATCAGTACACATGTTTATTTAGAAGCCACGCTCAGTTATCTTGCCCTGCATTTCCAAGTAGGTGGGTGTAGTAACCAAAGTTGCAGGCTTTAAATAGCGGCTAGTTTTTTAAAGTGTCGTAACTAAAATACTTTCATGATGCATTCATTTATGTCACATTCGGAATTGCCATTGATTGATTGGGCTAGCCTCTACATGCAATAGTCCTGTTCGCGGTGTGACTTGTCTAAATTTTTGACGGTTTTTCAATTTTGCATACTTGGTACGAGTTGTGTGTCCACAAATTTTTCTCCTGGCCTTCCGTGTTGTTCACTCGTTCACTTTTTTCTTACACGAAGCTGTTTGATTAGTCAACCTTATGCTTTTGTTGATTGTCCCCCCCTCTTTCGTGAAAGTTCGGAATTTGGAAGCAGACACTGCGTGTCGTGAGGTCGCGTAAGGGGAGGAATGTTCACCGTGGTTGAGTTTGGTCGCAAATCTCAGTGAGACAATTGAATCCATACTTTTTTTATTTTACATAATCTGTGTGTAGATGGTAGATGTGTTCAAATGTGCTGTGTCAATTGTGAAACATTTTGGTTACCTTCATTATCGAAAAAAAATGACACCATGTAGACATGCCAGCTTTCGTGAGTTATCCAAGTTGTCATTCAATTAAATTCTTGAGAAAGTTTTCGACCTCGTGAAAATCTAGAAAAAAACGAGCATATTTTGTTTCGTATTGTAAGCAAGATGTGGTACTAACCTGAGTGCAAAGCATCTTGTGTATGCAAATCATCCCATGTATTATCTAAGCACTAAAATTGTACATCTGTAACTGACGTTTGAAATTTGCTTTGGTGGTATTTATAGCCAGTGGCATTGTGCTCACTGTCGCCTCATGAAACCGCATTTACGTTTGCAACTGCCGCGTTCCCAACATGTGAAAGTGTTTGGAGAAGATGTGTGCACCCTTAGTACGCGTAACTCAGACTGGCATACACAATCTCGCTCACAGGCCTTGGCCCCAAATCTCCATTTCCACGCATTCGCACACGCCTCTTCCGTATTAGTGGGGTTATGAATGCTTTAGCATAGCTACCCTTTGACATCCAGCACCCTCGCATGGACCCCTTAATGAAACAAATTCTTAGAGCTAACTTTTCACGTATACTAGGAAACGATAGATGGTGTGCTAGTTTGTCTTGCCAAGATGTTTAAATAAGCGTAAGCATAACGCAAATCGGATTCGCTGCATACTAACGCTTTTCTCGGCCATCCCCCCCACCAGTCGCCATCATTTTTGCTGCCTTATTGCCGCATCTTTTCAGAAACGCCGCCATGCAAGAAGTGCGATTCCGCCACGTGCTTGGTCTGCTGCAGTGCTCGGCTTGCGACCTCATCGCCCTGATGTCCTTCGAGGCAAGCGGTCGGGAGGGTCTGATTACCCACCCCGGGCCTGCCGTTCTCCTCTCGGCCCTTGCCACTTGCCTTTCCGATGCACTGGGGCTTCCCGTGTCAAGGGCCACCACCAATCGAAAGGCCACCTCGTCCACCCAGCAGCGTCCTTCCAGCGACTGTTTTGCCACGCAGGCTGTCGCTGCAACAGCCAAGATCCTCGAAAACCTCACTGAAAGCCCTCGCTTTATTGTAAGCGTTCGTCTCACTTTTCACGGATGCAAACCACTATCCGCATCATTACAGGAGTCCTAATCACAATGGTCCTGATTTGCCTGCCATTTTTCGACACTCATGACGACCAAGGTGCTAATTTTGCTACGAGAAAGGTTTTCTTGGCTGTTTAAGGAAAAGTCGCCAGTTTGCATAACTAAGCTAGCAGATTACGTTCAAGCCACTTTTATACTTCTAATTTGTTACCGTTAAAATGTTTTGACGCAATGGGTTTCTAATGTGCTAAAACTGCCTATTCGCGTTTATTCCTTCAAACCAGAGACAGCCTGGTGCAAAAACAAAAGAATCTCATTGTGGTGAATTAATTTAACGATTGTTTTTTCATTAGAGGGTTTTCCGCGAAGTTGATTCATACTTTTCCTGCTTGTCCACAGCCAATTATAAATTAAAACTCTGTCGACATCCATCTCTTCCTTTCTTCGTGCGTGTGTGAGTGGACCATGTCACACGAAACGAAAGTCGTCAATGCTCAATCCTTCACACTTTCATAGCTGGTTCGCTTTAAAAAATCCGCGTACAGAGAAGTTACATGTCATACTACAGTCTCTTTTTTCAAGTGTAGTCTTCAGGCAACATTTTCTACACCAAAAGCTAATTACTAGCACGTCGTCGTGTAGGCGGACAACCTTATGCCTACAGAAGGGCTTATGGAAGCCAACTCACTAATATCAATGTAAACGACTTACTTGTTCATTTAAAATCCGCGTTTAAAATTGCAGCTTCATGGGGCTGCATTTGTGCTGTGCTGTCTGCTGCGAGTTTTCATGCGCTTTTCTTGAAGCCCTGGTGACTACTTTACCCGCGTTCAAATCGGCCATCTTAAATGCTTCATGCGGTATAATAATGTTGGTGTTCTCATCTAAACTACTTACTACTTCACTCACAGTCCGCAAGATCGAAAAAGCGATGTTTAATGTATGAATAAAGAATTAATTACTACTACTACTACTGAAGGTAGTAGTCTGGTCAAAATTGGTCACTCACGAGATCATTAGTTTGACAATTTAAAATCCTTGCGCAATTTGCTTTAACATCATTTGAATTTAAGTTGCGACTGCTTCAACCGATGCATTATCTTTTATTCAAGTGTTCACATAAGGTGAATATATGCCAATGTTTGAATTTGTAAATCGTAGTCAATGGTTCGGTCGTCGGACTGTTTTGCAAGCCTGCAAGACGTCATCGAAGCTGCCATCGCTCCTGCCTCTTCTGGAAGTGCCACGACATCAGCTCCGGTCGCATGTCTGTCTCAACTTCTGGACAGCCTCTCTGCAGCCTCGGATGACCCAGTTCTTCGACACACAATGATTACCAAACCGAACTTTCTTATCAATCTCACCAACTGCGCCCTTCGCCATGTCCCCCTCATGATCGACGAAAGGTCATTCTCCTGCTACTTAACATTTATAAGTAATATGTGCACGGGCGTTTCTCTGCTTGCGTCATTCAACTAAATTGGCGGTCAACCCATCTTTCTCCACCACGAATCTGTTTAGATGTTAGGACGAGCGTCACTGAAGTCACTTTAGTCTCCCAGTAATGTGTGTGGAAGTCGGTCAGAAGCGTCCCCATTGCATTGACGCTGCCTAAATTACTCAACAATGTGAAGCCAGTTATGAGTGCTGTAATCTTGTTCTTGTAGTCACACTGCCCTGGTAGGTTCTCTGTGTCGATTGTTGCACAACTTCCTCACGGGTGAACAGCAGGTGCCGTTGGCTCGCTGCGAGATGGAGGCCCTCCTGAACCTCGTGGGCAGCATTCTCGATCAGCCCTCGCGGAGTTCGGCGCTCATCTCCGTTTCGATTGCCCTCCTCGGCAAGTTCATGCCCCTCTGCGCCGCCGACCTGGTCAGTTTCCACCCAGCAATTCTTGTGTGCTCGGACGCTACACATGATGCCCGTCTACCACTACTACTACTACTACTACTTTAGCTTTCTCCCGTGTCACTTAAGGAGAGTAAAGAAACATGCGGTGGGGGTTGTCTTAAACTACGTTTTTTTAGTCGACATCCTTAAGCATGGATCGGTGTATTCCCAAAATACTACTTGCTTTCTTTGTAGTCCTATAGCTAGTGTCGGAGTTTTGTTTGCTTCACAGGCACAAGTTTTTTACAAATTTGATCTCGGTTCGCTTACTAACCGGTGTTACTGGCCACGTTTTTGTGCTCATTTTGTGTGTAAACATGAATGTGCAAAACTTCGAGGTCCACGTTTGAATTCACACACTGTTTCACCCAAAAATCGAAAGGCGAGCCGAAAAGTTTAACAGCGTGCGCGTGTCATCCTAAGCAATAACACTCACGACAGTAAACACTCAGCCATAAATGTATGCAGCGAAAATATGGAGAGCCTTATGTGGCCTTTGCCCGTCACCATGAGCAAGTTGTAATTGGCGCTGAACAGGAATCGATTAAAACAGCGGATAAATCAAGAATGGCATAGTAAATGCTACATTGTATTTCCTTTTCTTTTACTGTTATCTTTATGCAATGGTTGCTTGTCCAGATACTTCGCTTAATTCCTCTGCACTATGCATCACAGGGGCCTCTTTCCATGACGTATCCCCGGGAGTACTTTTAATAGCAGCAAATTCAATGCTGGCCCCAGGTGTCTCCTTTTTCAACCAAAGTGTGTACCCTTTTGTGACAACTGCAAGGGGTTTGCACAAACCAGCCCACAAACCATCTAAGGAGCGTTTGTTTGATGTTTCAGGTTGACAAGTGGAGCCACACAGGCAAGGATGCAACTAAACCGTTTTCCAAAAAAGCCCAGCCTTCTCAGCCCAAGCTCAAGGAACGAGTCAGCATTCTTATTTCCATCATTTCCTCCTAGTAAGTGGCACTTTATGCTTCCAGAGGCAGTTGATTTAAAGCCTTTTTGACCTACCCGTTTCTTTTCTGCACTGTCACTGTTGCTTAACTCCCCGGACTGGTCATTGTATTGTATTGTAGAAAAATCAGAAGCACATTCGGTTTGGACCTCGAAAGTGTAAATAGCAGCAACTACGTAGTAATTTAATACATGGCACTGCCATTTTACTGCTACGCATCCAGTAGTAGTCATCAGAGCGCTGTTATCAGTAGCCCATCAAAGTTCCTAAATAAACTTACAGAAGACAAAGAAGGATTATGCTGGGGTTTTTTTTGTGAAAATTAACAAGTTGATGTGGCATTGTCTTAACGAAGGCAACTTCCCTTTCTGATAAAAAAAATGCTTTCTTTTCAACAGCTCTGCCTCCGTTCTTGAAGAAGCTCCGTCTCCGCCAATCGCACTCTGCGGAAGTCGAAATGACACTCAAACCACCAACGGCAAGTCGCAGTATGCAGCAAACGTATATGAATCGTCGGAGAGCCTTGCTGCCCATCGATTGCGTGGGGCCATTCGAGCCCTCTCTGCCATAACCAGAGCTCCCGGTTGCGGTGATGTGCGCGTTGCCATTGGCGACAGCCGACTCATCTCGCGCCGGCTGGCCCAGTTAATTCGGGCTCGAGCACCGCATGCGGCCGAGGCGGACGCGAGGTCGCCACCTGCGAGAGACGAACCCCTGACCGCCAACGTCTGCCTCATTCTCGAGGCCTGTATCGAGGACACTGTGATGGCTGAAAACCTCGTCGGAACCTCCATTATTATGGATCTCCTCAAACTCATTCAGGTACAGTGTTTTCGATGCACTTTTTTGCACAACATTAAGGCTCAAATTTACTGCACTTTGTTTTCAGCCCTCAGTGCTTAAATGCCTAATCACCCATTCTTCAGATTGAGTTTCCAGTTAATCAATAAAATACCGTGCCAAATAATCACAGAGTGTATGGTTTGTGGAAAGGATGCCTGGTCGTTATATCTTTGCCTCATTTTTAAGGGCACACGTGATTAATTATGTAACCTCAGAAGTATGTGATGCTTCTCTGGTGGTAGTGCCACTAATCAATTTGAGCAAAATGACTGGGCTCGCTTTTATTGTACTTTGCTTAGGAGTCGAAGAAACCCCAGACTAAGCGGAATGCCGCCTGTGTGATTGGTCGATTGGCCTCGGCCAGCCATGTTCATCGGGAGGAGGTGTCTCGTTTGAACGGGATGTCCGTGTTGTCGCATTTTAACTCCTGGACGGCTCAGGTTGGTGCAACCCAGCACGCGCCAGGAATGCTCTTCTAACTCCCGGTGTCCTTGCTCGAAGTTACGTCAACTTGTCCTCCTACCATTTACATGTTCTTTCACATACAAAGTCCATATGAAATCTTTTCAACAACAAACCGAGTTCTTCCCTCTAATAAACTGAATTCTGTAACTTAGTAAGTCAAATATGTGATTCGGTATTTAAAACTAGAAAGCATGCCCACCACCTCACTACGCGATATTGTTTTTTTTTCCAACAGTACAAGTCATGTTATTCTTTAACTCTGAAAAGTGTTTCTAATAACGATTTAAAGAGTGAAAAGTGCCGCAGTGGTACGATTAGGTATCTGAACGGGTCACCTAAGAATGCACGCTTGCAAACTTTAATAACATTTTTGATACCTAGTTGTGCTTTTTATGATTAGAGGTAGTCAGCAGGCGGTTTCGGCGATGCACGAGCACAATCCAACTAGCTTTCTAAAAGTCGTCTGTGTTTGGTGTGGTTTTGTGACGGTCACAAGTTGTTGCTTCACCAACATTCATGAAATGGTTTTTCCAACTATGTCAAGATCTGACTTCCGATTTGCCGTACGGATTCACACTATTTGCTTTCGCACCATTCCCAATAGTCGTCTGTTACGCAGTAAAAGAAACAGCTATTTTCCACTAATTTTGAAAAGGGTTTTTGCCAGAACTAGCTTTACAGAACTACCTGTTGTGGTTGGATCCCTTTGTAACTGCTATCAACATCGTTTCGTGCACAGTTGATGTACCCCTTACACCACCGCCACCAGTACAAAATTTGGTGTGAGAGTTTCAAACTCCATTGCACTTACGAATACCTAGGTCTAAACTCCTGCCGCCTTTGGAATTTATCAAACTTACCCCATAGGAAACGACTGTCTGCCGTTACTTCAATACCTGCTCACTTTCGGCCAGATTAATTTTACCAGGCTAATATATCCTTTAAAATTTAGGCTTCGAACGTGGCATCTGGAAGCCGAAGGATACCATGCGGCAGTTGTTCAAATTGTGCATTCGCCGTTGACACTGGTTCAGCTAAGTCATTAAAAAATGTAGGTATCCAAATTAAGAGTAGGTAACTCTTATTTCAACTATGTATCCGAGATTTGGTTGCTTTATATATCCTGGAAATATTTAATCAATCACCACAGCCGTTCCCAAGTCTCCAACAATATTTAGACATCTTTCTGGATGGAACAGTTTATTAAAATTAATAGGGATTTTTGACGAAACCTTAGACGCCAAGCACATGAATGGAGATTCGCGTTGAGGGGGCTCCTGCGGCGATCTGTGCAGGGTTTTCGCGATTTGTGACATGCCATATATTGCTTTCGAAATGCCCTTTTTGGATTACAGTACAAGTGCCAACAGGGCACTCCAAACAGGTTATCTGCATATTGTTCAATAAACTATGTTCAGGCGCTGTCTGCAACAGCCCCCAAAATTCGAGTTTATGGCATTGCTATAGTCCCTGTTGTCATTTTTAACTCACCTTATTCATCCAAAAAACATCTAATCAACATAATGTTTGCCATTTCGATTGGTGTCGGATAAATTTCTGTCTTTGCATGACCTTTGAGTGCTTAAAGTTCTCTAAATGTTTAGGTTTAGGCACTTGTGGATCACTTAAATACTTTTCGCCATCTGACGGATCTACACCAAAGGCAACAAACTTGTTCCCAAACAGACGTATTGCCTTCCCTAAATACCTATACAGATATGACAATCAAATTTTTTACTCGTAAACTCTGTAGAAACTGCATCATATTCCCTGAGAAATTTAGCCATAATTACCTTTAACCGGAATCTAAAACTCGACATTTCTATTGGAACTTCAATTGAGTAAGTCAAAGTGCAGACAGTCCAAAACCTTGATTAATTTAGTTTGTTATTGAAATGCTCATGACTTAGTGGCCTTAATTAACAATACAGTTTTAAATAGCAGATGAACTGAATGTAAGGCGAACCAAAAAGCAATGATTTACCTAATTCGAAAAAATAAACTAAAGCTATGTCTCCAATTATCGAAATCTACATTTTAATCTGTCCAAAATGTAGTTTAGATTTCAACGCTGAGAAATGATACGGCATATTACAGCATATGTTCGCAAACTAATAAATGCAATTCTAAAAACCGAAACGCAGCAATGTTTAAAACCGAGTTAGTGTAGGGTGTTAACAATACTAATTTTAATAAAAATAACTATTTTACCTAGTCGAATGAACTCGAGGGAGCCGACAAATTGCCTTTATCTGACAGGCAGTTATTTATTCTTTCTAAAAAAAATCCTGTCATGCGTGTTAATTGGCACTTTCCTAACTATGTATTATCTCGTGGCTTTGCAAATAAACCTAAAACCTACAAAAATAGTGAGGAAATGTTACCTCTAACATTAATAAATCAGTGTTTGCCAAACATTGTGTTTCACTTCATAAGACTTGTTAACTTGGACAAGTATAATGTGCTGACTAGGGAGAAACCAAAAAGACTACTACAAGGCAGTGATTTATTTCAAACTACCACATAAAACTGCAGAGGGTTCTGATCTTAAGAGAATTTCCTGAGCCCAAATAGAGAAAAAGGTTGCTGTATAAAGGCATAGAGTTGCAACTAGACTTAGCGGCTCTGCTTAGGGAAAGCAAGATCGCAAAGAAATACAGTGGGGCAAAAAACAGGCCTGACAAGTGAGCGTTAATCGAATAACTTGCGTTAGACAACCACATATCGAGTAAAAAGTATATTTAATTGTCATATTATTGTGCATAATCACAATTGTGAGGTTTGTTATATAAACAATTACAATTTTAAACCTTTGTTGGAAAATCTGCTAATTGAAATTAGAAAGTAGTGTTTGAATCGGCGCTTTGTACTGCGGATTCGTAAATTTCAAGGTCGAGACCAAAGTAGTGTTTGGTGTGGTTCGCCGTTTTTAACCCGGGTGTTCATTTATGTGAACAGCTCTTTTTTGATTTCGTCAAAATGGTTTGATATTTTTTTGCTATTTGCATTACTAGACTGAGCCAATGGATACATCAGAAAACGATGGCTCTGCTAGTAGCGAAAATGTTGGAAAACTGCAGGAGCTCATGTCAAAAACAATCCGCATAGAGGTAGCTTCAGGTCAGCAGTGCTACTGGTATTAAACTTTTTACTAAAGTACAATACTTTTAGTGGTAACCCACGTGATTACTCTGTTCCCGAGTTTCAATGTAGCTTTTGCTACAGGTGGTTTCACCATCACTGCATAAACTTCGACATTGGGTATTGGGAGTAGCATTTTAATATATTTTAGCCCTTCGTTACCCTTTATGACGGCCTACCATTTTATGTGTAAAAAGTGTAATAATGCCAACGAGGAAGTATTTTCAAAAAAACAGGCCAATTTTGCCAGCATGTGTCAAACAGCTCTTGCTAACTTGATGTGCATTCACAATGGGCGGGTATACTTTTCGGAAGAAAAAGAGCTTATTCCATACCTCGAGCAAAATTGGGAGCTTCTTACTTCACAACCGCGTCGCACAAACGATTCATGGCATACAAATATACACAAGACTCTGGTTTGTGTTCTCTTTGTAAAACAATTCGTCCTAGGTTAGTAACGAACTTTTCCACGTCATTGATGTTGACCCTCAGCATGCTGTGTGTCTTTCGTGCCAAGTAAGATGGTATTGTATCGTTGTACTTGAATGAATTCTGTTGTGTTGCACTTTTTTTACTTCATCGTTTGTCTTAAGTCCAGTTTTATGTTTGTCAAATAATGTGGGCGATAACACAGATTTAATCTTGAGTTAATCATGATTTTACGTAAAAAAATTAACTAAATTTTATTTAGCACTTATAATTATGATTTTCTTAGATTGCAATTTTCTTCACCAAACTAATTTTTTTACAGTATAGGCAATTTACACAGACGGATCGTCAGCATCCTTTCCCTTCACCTTGGTTTAATATCATAAAATGACAAATATGTTATTAAAATGTCTGCGGTTAGCCAAAATCAAGCGGATAACGTGCGGCAAAACAATGCATGAGTACCACAGTCAACTAAATATTCATTTAGACACAATAAGGTGGTGGTTTTTATAAGTTCGTGTTCATGCGCTTATATTGTTAGGTTGTCCACGTTAACGTGCTATTTATTTTCGACAGATGTGCTTTTATGGTGACTGTGCTAATGTGCTTTACCATTGTTAAACGATGTATATTTACTGACAGGTTTGAAAGGTGTGTTTTGGATGAATATTCTTTTCACCGAGGTGTCCAGCTGCTGCGCATGTGTTAACAAGGCCGACTGCTGTAATAGTCTTTTTGATGTTACCTAAAACACCGATTGTACACTCCACGTTTGCTGTTCTCATTTCCTCATAGGATGTGAGCACCATTGGTCCTAGTTATGAGCGCTTCCGAGCTCTCACTAGTCAGCTGAAGACGAGCGTCAGCAAACGCGGACCCCCTCCATCCTCCGGTCAATTGACTGACTCGGTCGGTGGCGATGGATCCCCGTTGACAGGTGATGGGTCAGACGGAGCACCTGGTAAGTCTCGAAAAGGCGTTCAAAGCGGGAGCAGCAGCGCGTCGCTGGCTTCAACAGGTGGTGGTGGAACTGGCGGGAACGTTCGATCTACTCGTCGTTCCACTGCAGCGGCGGTGGCCTCTAGTTGTGGCAACGGTGGCCTCTACGGTGCTAATCCTCATGACGACACCAGGGCCAAAGTGAACGAGTTTGGAATCCCCATCGACCACCCGGTGAATACGGAAAACTATAGGTTGGTGTAAAAATGGTTTCTGTTGTTTTGTCTTCTGTTGTTTTTGAAGCAATGTGGGCCATCGTTCCCTCATTTCGGTGACGAATGTTATAATCGTGGATTGCCTGGTCTTTTCCGTAAGTGAGTGAGTATGCAAATGAGCTCTGGATTAATGTGAGTATTAAACATGTTCATGAGATGGTCTGATTTGTGTAGAGCACATAGTCACTAAATTTAACTTCAACGATGTCATAATGGCATAGGCTAATTGGGCGAAATGGGCCTGTCGACTGTTGATTCAAAATTAGTAAGTTATGTACCAAAGTCTTCAATATGACCTAAGTTTGCAATACAAGGTATGCACATCCTTCCCTTTTATAATGAAAGTAGTGAATGTGCTTCCTCCATTGCTGAAATTTTGTTGCTTTACGTCTCAGAAATTCACTTCGTCACTTCCTTTTACGAAGGTGATTGTTGTCGAGTGTTTTCTGGCGAAGCTCGTTAGCATTCAACGCTTCCAGCTCAGTGCCTTATCATTGTCTAACCTTCGTGGCACAGTTTGAGGACAGTTTTGCTGCGCACTTAGGCGATTTGCCAATTTTGCCTTTACAAGGTACATCCTAGTGGAACCTGATCCCCACGCCCAAGGTCGTCAACAATGGGACGAGTGTGAAAGTACCGCTGGCAAGCCGATCCCCGGTTACTTCTATCGTGTCTGTTTGTGCCCAAAGGTTGTTCTCTCCCTTCATGATCGAGGTGAAGCGAAGATTTATATTTATATGCTACTTATTTCGAAACAAGTAGATATTATTTTTCAGCGATAGCTTCGAGTAGCACCTCAGCTTTTGCCGATCAACCTATGGCTTACACGTGTTGTTTCATAAATGAGCTACTTTGACCATAGTGTAGTGTCGACTTGTAAACTAGATCAGGCGAAAGTGCTCCAGCCCCCCCTCTCGTTGTGAGTTTCGGCACTTCTTACGTTTTTGAGTTTCGCAATGTCAGAGAACAATGTGCTATCGAACAAAGACCCTGTTATAGTAAGCTGCTAGCTAATAGGTAAAGGTGTTTATAACACTTACCTTTAGCTCAATTGTGGCATCGCTTTACCGAGTTCCATGGTTATATTTTTCGTCGTAATTTACTACACCACCATCGTGCCTTCTGTGTCTCTTTTCACCTCATTAAAGGCCAAGGGAATGTGGGAAAGCACTGCTCCACAAAGTGACAAAAACCACAATGCCGGTCATATCGGTTTTCTGTTTTGCCGTCACAACTAACGTACTGCTAAGCGCATTGTTTTTTAGTGCCTATAAATGGTGCCTAACTAAACGAGTGTATCAAATTACATTCCCACAACCAATTTTCTTTCTGTGTTCCCCCAAACTTTGTGGTTTGTTATTTGAATGGTGATAAATCCTCGAGTCCAAACTATCACCAAGGCGTGAATGGTAAGCCGTCACCTGCGTTTGATTGATTAACACAAGTGGGAAAAATTAATTAAACAAATATTGGCAGAACCGAAGCTGTGCTAGGTGGGCGGACACGTCTTCTACTTGCAGGCACTAGACGTCGCAGGACAGCTAAATGCTAAAACATTCCTAACCTTAATAGCATAGAATTAGTCTTGGAAAGAATTAACAGAGCGTGTGAGCGATTTTGCGTCTCACTTTTGGTATCTCCCACGATTTGTAAATAGCGCAGGTCCGACTAGCATGTCTGGCTGCGTTTATGTCCTATTTGGAAATCTTTTTTTTCTAATTACCAAAGCATGATTTACCTCGCAGAAGGTCTGTTTAATTGGAGTAAAATTCGTTTTGTTCTGGGGATTAATGTAATGCAGAAGTTTACTGTAATAAGAGATTACCAGGATCTTTTGTCTGGAATATTTCAGTTTTCCAGGTGTATGTACTTTCCATTGTACTTTGAGGCGGCAATGTTAACTGTTGTCGCAAACTCATCCCTATTTCCTTTGGTTTAGGCTATTATCAAGGTACTCTTTTACGTTACCTAAGAGAAACGAGTGAGCTATAGCCCCGTGTAGGGTATTTATTAAAAACTAAGAGGTCTCATCACCGACTCCGTGTATTCCAGCGCACCAGATGAAGCTGCAGGATTCACAGACGTCGCTGACCGGCGATAAGGGCTACTGCATGGCCAGGGCGACGCACAGCGTGCACACCGGGACGTGGTACTACGAGGCGACCATCACGGACCAGCCGGAGGGCTCCGCCACCCGCATCGGCTGGTCCCAGCTCATGGGTAAGGCGCCCGGGCACCCCCTTACACTCCCCTCCTCCCTCCTTTCTGCCTCCTTCACGTGGGCTCATTCTCGAAAACGGTTGGCTCCTGCATCTCAGCTTAGCGACGGTTATGTGCTTCCTCACAGGGACTGCCGCACACGCTTGTTTTTTCTAAACTCCTAATTGGCCTCTCGTCTGCCGTGTATGATCCCAGGCCTCGATTCTGAGTTGTGTTTTGGTGGTATCTGCGAATCGTTTTCCTGTCTTCAATTCTTTCTTAACATCGTTTTTGAAAAGACCAACAGTTGGCCCACTAGCGCAACCGGCGATGAAGGTCCAATGACGGTTTCCTTCATTACTAATCGGCATTTCTTTCTCATTAGAAAGTTAAACTTTTTTTCATGCAATTTACAGCCCAGTGCTTGTCTCCTTTTTGAAATCATGTAGTGCCGCCCGCCTGCTGTGAAGATTAACCATTACCACGAAACACAAAGCAGCCCTAGTGTTATTCACACGGGTGCCGTGTCCGTTTAATTGTCCCGCTTCTTGTTTAAGTGAGTCGAAAAGGGTGGAGGAGGGTTTTCGTATCATCTCACTCCACTCTCACACCTTCTGTGTGGCCGGTATATTTAGCTCATGTGGGCTTCGAAGCCAGCTGTCTTCGTTGCCCAAAACTGGGGCGATTAGATGATCTCACGTTTCATAATGTAAAGAGTATACTGATACCAAACTCCTGGTGATGCGGATTATCCTTGTGAGTGGTTTGTTCGATCGACTTGGTAGCACTTGGTCTAATCGCCATCTATACGCTACACGCGACTTAAGACCGCTGTATCTTCGGTTACGTTTAGGAGGTTTTGATTGAAGGCTGGTAAAACACACCCTACCACCTCCTGCTTCGAAGCCAAGTCCGATTCTTAAAAGGCCACAGTTTGTTTTATAGTCGTCTTTAAGGAAACAAAGTCAGTCCCTGATGCCTCTCAAAACCTTGTTTTAGGTTGGGGGAGAGTAAATTTTTGCTTTAGAATGACTGTACCGCTCTCACCGGCATGCACATTTTGAGCTGATTGACTCACATAAGTCCAGAGAAAGTGGACCTTATGTGCCAGCAAACATTTGCCTCCCCCCTGCTGTTCAGCAAATTATAATCTCGTTGCCCCACTTGATCGTGGCATAAGTGCTATCACCATGCGATTACCTGTTCCTTCTTTCCAGGCAACCTACAAGCGCCATGTGGATATGATAAGTTCGGTTACTCTTGGCGTTCGCGTCTGGGCACGGTGTTCCATGATTCCCGGGGTAAGCACTACGCAGACACAGGTTACTCCAAGGGTGACGTCATTGGATGTCTTATCGAGCTGCCGAAGGCCGCACGAGCGGACATGATCCCCTCCATGACCGCCCTGAACTCCGCCTCCACTGGGTCAAGCAAAGCTGGCGGTGGCTCGAAGGCCGGTGGCAGAGGGGACAGTGCAAAGGCCAAGACCCCAGAAGTGCCGCTGTTCAACTACCTTCCGGAGACCTACAAGGACCGGGTGGGTTTGCTTTGGCTTGTTGGCCAGTTGTGTGGGGCTGCATCACGACTCTAAATCTGTGAGCCCATTCTACCAAGGCCTTGTAACTTGTCTCTGGCAAAATTTGATCAAGTGTCAAGTGAAAAAACTTAAGAGCGTGCAACAAACCACAAGGGCTAATTCAACGGACTTGGCACTTTCGACGTCATCGACATGCCTTACGTGGTTCTGTATTTGGGAAGATCACAATTTTTCCTCTATTGACATTTTCGTTTACAGGTGTTGAGTCGATTACGTCTATCACCTTTGAGTCAACGCCGAAGCCCCCAACCCTGTCATTTTTGTCATGACAACCAAAACGCTAGCAGGTTCTGTGGAAGGTTTAACAGTATAATACATTTATACTCTACAACGAATCTCGACCCGTAAGCATTCGTTCAATTAGGTAAACTTCATTACGAAGGCTGAGGCACACCGAATGACAAATGACTTTGTCTGGATTAGCGCACATCTGCTTATTCAATTGCCCGACTGGGCTGGTTGTGTGTCGTGCCTTAACCGGTGTATTTTTTTTCAGCCTTTGATCAAATTCCGCAATTTCTACTACTTCGAGGAGAAAGGCGACCCTCAGGCCCTGGAGAAACAACTGCGACCGCTGCCTGCGAGCAAGGTAACTCTCCTTCTTTTTAAGGCAAACGGAAGGATGGATTTTAAGGTCTAAATGCTCTCCCAAACGTAAGTGTGTAGCAAGTGTCATTTCATGGACCTGTCGGCTATCTGTCAAGTAATATTTTTTGCTCCGTGTTCAGTCTTGGTCCGCTGGAAGTTGTCGGCGCATCTCAATCTCAGTCTTATTTCTACCGATGCCCTAAATAAAGACGTTGGACAGTCGCGCATTAACGCAAAGACCTGTATCACATTTTGCTTTGACCATTACTGGGTGTACGCTTTTTTGAGTCACAGTGGGTGACCATAAATGGGGTAGCTATTTGTGTTTCTACTAGGGATGTTTGGTTTTGGTACATTTTCATTTTTAACCCGTTGATTTTCCACATTAATGCACTCTTCGTTAAAATTCTCGCGTATTTTTATCGGGCCGGAAGTAATGCTTATCGTGAAGTCCTTTTTTTTTATTAAATACCCTTTCTTTGATGTACGAATCGTCGTAACAAATCCAGAGTCTTTGGTGAATTTCAAATTGAGCGCAGCACGCACGCATTGTCATGCCTATCGCGTGACGCGTTTTCCCTGGGCCACTGCCATACCATCCGGTTGATCGCTATAAATACTACTTAAGTTTGGGGCCTGGGGATGATTTTATGCACTTTTGTATGCTTGCAGATCGTCTTTTATCGGAATGGGGAGTGCCTTGGTGCGGCCTTTCAGAACATATACGCCGGTGCCTACTTCCCTGCGATATCCATCTACAAATCCGCCACAGTCTGCGTCAACTTTGGCCCCAATTTCAAGTACCCTCCAGCGGACTTTGATAACTGGCAACCGGTAAATTGTGTGCATCGTCGATACCACTTGACCATTTCTTCACTTTTACGATATTAGTGACTTCGAGCGTGTTTTGGCTTATGGCACAAACAAAATGTCGCAATTTTTTTCAGAAATCGCCTGTGTATCTCGTTGGTTTTTTTGTGAATTTCATTTCAAACAGAGGAATTACATCGGGAAAATTTGATGGCAGTTAACTTTCTTGCGCTGTGGTTCGGCAACATCCCCTGCAGATCCTTATCTTCCCCATTTTATCACCCAATTTGGCTTTCCTGTTTTCTAATTGGCGCTTCGGCCTTGCTTTTGTTTTGATTAAACCCAAACCCGGACAGAACTAAGCTCACACGTAAACATGAGACTGAAACTAATCTGCCTAGATTGCAATTGCAATATTATGTGCCTGTGTCTTAGCTAAGATTCCCCGATTTAAACACTACGAGAACTCAAAAATGTCACAATTAAGGCTTGACCTCTGTTAGACAACCAGGTTGAGGGTCGTCAGCATCTCTGACGCCTTGTCACCGTTATCTTCCGGACTTATCTGTTCTGTAAAATTGATTGAATTTACTGCCGGTCTGGGGTTTCGCATTCAGGAGAACTAGCTTCACTTTTAGCAGTTCGTTGAGTGAACCCTCTAGTTGCCACCGTCCTGCTCCCCACGGCTCTCACCAGTGAGTTGCCTTTTTCTGTGGTTGGTTTCGTGAAGAAACATGGTTCCCATTAGATTTCAGCTAATCACTCGGTTTAATCCTTCCTGAAACGGGTCTGAGCCGTGAAGTATCCATGCTACATCGATGCGTAATTATGCTCAGGTATTACTGCCCGCCACGTTGACGTAGTCGGGCCTCTTCTCACGCGGTCTTTCAGTTTATAAAAGTCTTTCATTGTGTGCACGACATGTGCATTTTCTTCTGAGTTCTCCGTATCATTGGCTAATCCGTGTTTTCTTGCATTGACCAAAATCGCGATGCAAAGTCGTTGTTAATTTTAATTTCCTTCGCCCGCAGATGTCGGCGAGACGGGAGAGCGCGGAGGTTGAACAGGCGATGGCCGACATGCTGTACTTGAATGTCAACGATCGACTCATCGAGAACCTCATGAAGGAGTGCCATCGCAGCTGAGCCATCATCCTCACGGGCCCCGCTTTTTCCACCTTTGATGTTTTTTTTAAAAATAAACAAATTATTGTCAAGTACGAAATCGAATTTTGCGCATTAAGTGTCTGTTTCTCACCTGAAATTGCTTCTTGGGGGTCAGGCACAGTTTTCCAGATCGTGTAATTATCGTTAGTCTTCAGTTGGCTTACATGGTCATGCGAGTTGCAGAAGTGGTCGTTGTTAGTCATGTTTAATGTAATTTCTGCTTCGAGCTGTGCTTCAAAACGCTTATCTCTGTTGATTAGCGTGGGAACCGCCGTGTCTAAGTTCTCACTGGGAAGCAAACATTAGAATATCGCTGAATCATCGACAAGTATAGGAATTGGTTGGATATATAACGAGATCAAAGGAAGATGTAATTTACAGTTGGGGTATGAGACGATAAATTGGAGAGTGATTCAGAAATTCACCTGTTAACTTGGCTGTTTGGTGACAGTTCATACCAACAGCCAAAAGAAGCAAAATATCTGTGAAGTGCCGGAATTCAGTCTGCTTCATGGGAACTCGCCTTCAAGCCGTATGCTCATTGAAATCACGAAAGTGCCTTGATTCTGTGGTGATTGCCCTCAAATCCCCTTTTACCTATCTGCCTCATGTAAATTGCGTTTGGAATTACAAATGACACCGCTTAGATGTTAAAATTGCCGATTAATCTCGGCCGAATGCAACGGCAGCTAATTTGGGCTGCTGGACGTGTTGTTGTGTGACCAGATAGCCGCCTATCTTGGTATTGAAGATGAAGCGAAACACGCCGCCCCATTAAACCAAGATTTTCCGCACCAGATGTGTACAAACTGCGCATCCATCGGATTTGTTTGCAGAGATGGCTATTGGTCTGATGAGTCCACGAGGGCCAGTTTTGGTAGTTTCCGCCAATCGGTAGAATTCGTCCATAACCGAAATGTTCACTAGCATCAAATGTATTCGTTTTGCACGGGAAGCGACGATATTATTTAAATTTTTTGATTAAATTTCCTTGGTGTGGGGATCGCAATGCGAAACTAATTCACTACTCAGAGGTATATTTCCATTATCTAGTTTGTGTTAGATATGTCGGCGTGACAGCAGTCAACCCAACATCATTTATGCTCCGACAATATGCTGTTGTCAGTCTCGTACGCAATATTCTTCTTCACTTACGCCAGCCTGTGTTTGGAATTGTCTTTTCGATTTACCCGCGCTGTTGGTATGGGATTCGTGATTAACATAGCCCTCTGTGTTAAAGTTGGGGACAAGTCATTAACCTTAAGGAGTTTGCCACAGGGGACATAATGTGTTCTGCTCAAGCCTCCCTGCATATTTTGCCTGCATGGCTTAATTAAAATAAGGCAAGGGTCTGAACACTGCCTCTAAATTCATCGAATTCTCTGGAACTGTTATGACGACCCCAAAAGTAGCTTGAGGGTAAAATCGTCGTAGGCGGCACCTTGATTTAGTGTCACGTAGGTAAACGGCCCCACCAAAGTGCCCTAATTTACAGGCACCAGAGATGCCAATTCGGTTGATAACCTGCCAGAAATCAATCCTATTTTGCAAAATTACGTGTCTTTACTTATGTGTTTATCTGCGTGTTTGTTAGAGATGTCTTTCGTTCTCTGTCTCCGAAGCCATCATAAGGACTATTTGCAGGATCCTAGGAGTGAGTTAATAATTCAGTTTCCGTGATTAGATTACTTTACAGCCGGTGGATTGCCATAACTATGTCCTTAGTGGAATCTTTTGCATGTCAGTACTTTTGCATCTAATTAGCCCAAATTATTGTACTTACTCGTTCTTGGTCCAGATTTGAAGTTGCGGCACCGGCGGCAATGTAACTGGAGAGAAAAGCAACCATATCGGTAATAATCCAGTGGGTTTCTTTGCTTGCATGTAACACAATGCCCTTCCACAACACAAAGTCAGCCAATTGAATCAAAGGACAGAAGGGAGCGGAGTTTAAATTGCCGGCAGCAACGATACAGGGGCTCCACAATCACTGAAGGGATTCACAAGTTTAATTGACTACTCAGATTAAAATAAGGCAGGAAGCTTTGCTTAGCAAATATTTGCTAAGCAAACATTAGGAAAACTAAAGGGACTGAAATCGGACTAATCGTAATTTGTGAAATCATTTCGCACGTCCAGAAGTGGCGCCTAAAATTGTTGCGCGAAAGAAACCAATCAAAACTAAATGCGTAATGACAGCGCTGCATGAAACCATGGTAAATAACCTTGAAATCCCGACTGTGAAATCGTGTATGGAAAAACATGTGTCTATGCCACTTTATTGTCATTTCACTGGATTTGCTGGTGGTTTAACGAATTACAAAATAACTTCAGCTCACAAATGTGCTTTAACGAAAAGATAGTCATTCTCTTTTTGATTTTAAGTAGTGAAAATATACCTCTCGAATCTCGCTCGAAGTGTTTTTGAAGACAATGGTGCATCTGTGACCTCCGATTAACGTCTGATCTTCTAGCCTAAGATTTTGAAAGTTGGCAAATCTTAGAAGGTAAACTGGCTAAGAAGACATATATTTCACGAAAGTAAAATCATGTCTGAGGTTTGCCGAAGTAAAGTCAAAGGAGAAAACAGGTTAGGCCTCAAATAAACGGACTCTCAACGCGAGACTAATGTCGGGAAGGCTCTGGTAATCAAGCCATTATATACCCTCACCTACTCCTAGTGTAGGGCAGCATTCACCAAGTTATCTGAAGCTCTATCGCCTATAATGTGGTAGCTGCTTCAGTAACGAAAATTTGTGTGATAGCTAGGCCCACCTTCAAATCTGAAAGCAGCTTCGTCGAAGGAAAGTAGTGTAAGATGGAGACTTGAAGTACAAATGACAGAATTAAGAGTCGAAAAATGGATGATAGTGATTCAGAGCTAAAATTAAAGTCCCGTCACAATAACGTGCAAGAAATATTTTTAATTTATTTAACTTTGACTTTGTTTAATCAGGGAAAGTATACTTCGCATATCATGGATCAGCTATAATCGATTTATAAACCTATCTATTTTATCACTCAAAGATAACGAGATTTTGCTAAAGACAAAGACGAAATAATTGCCGCGGATCCTTTTTTAGTTTAAAAGCTACATGAAACAGTGCATGAAAATAAGTGTTTGCAAAGCGTGGTTAGCAGATTCTCGACCAATAGATGGGCAGATTGCTTGGTGCAATTTTCTATTCACACGTACCGAACACTAAATTTATAGAATGAATAATTGAAATAAAAACGGATTCAAAAACAGTTGTGAACTCCGTAGCGAAAATGTAAATAGATTAAGAGAGATTCGAATTCAAATTTGAAGTTCGGTGGGTGGAATAAACCCACTATCTCAGTTGTTCTTTTGTCAAAGTCCTAGCAACCATACCACTTAGTAAACACTCAGTCTGTGATAGGTCAAATTAAACTTGACTAGACCCAGGTGACTTGCAGATTGCGTAGCCGATAAGGCCCCCAACAGCTCAAGTAAATGGAACTAGTACCTGAAAGGAAACTTGTAGAGAAAAACATGCAGACTGTGGATAACTCTATGTTGTTCCTTGGTTGAATCTCTTTTAATTCATCAGAAATTGGCATCTTAGTCAACGCCGAGCGCATCAATTGTCAAACATCCTCTTCAGGTCTTAACTTCGTCTACGAGTTGGAGAATATTTACAGACTTGTCATAAAAGGAAATCTAACAAGTCGACCTCTGCCATTTTTATAGTAAAATAATAGCTAGAGGAAACACTCCTTTTAACATAGATGTCCCGAAAACCAGTTATATGCGTGATTTCGAAAACAATGATGGTGGAGATTACAAAGAATGCGTCTAAATGAAAACTGGGAAGCCTCTTACTGCGGGCGGTAGATAAAATCACTCAGTGGCCCACTTATCTGCCACCAAAGCGTCACAACGCAGTGGGTTATATTTCCGTAATTTTGTTCGCGAAACATTTTATTATTTCACAATCTTGATCTTTTTGTAATACATTTTCTCAGTGTGCAGAAAAAACGTAACCGATACAATTAAATTAAGTGAAGTCTTCTTAGTGCTGCCTATGTAAAAGAGAAACCGTCGCCTTCAAAATTACATGTTCCTGGGTGAAGCGTGGGTGCAAAAATCGGTCAGCATCTGTGAATCCACGTACAAAGCCATTCAACAAAAACCATTACATGTAAATGTCCTAAATCCAATCTTTGAACATTCCTGTTTATGGTTTAATTTAATCAATTTTATTCGGTGATTTTGCTCATTACGTGAGTTAGGCATTGCATAGAAGCACTACAATAAGTTATAAACTTGGGACAAAAATATCTTGTAGATAGATTTTTGTAGGTTAATAAATTTGTTAATAATGACGATATTTAAAAAACATTCATATATGACCTAAAATACAAATTCTGTGCATCTAATTTTGTTGTGGACGTAGCTACATCACGCAGGAAATCTGAACAGACAACTAGGACAATCAGAGAGGTGAGTTAACGTATCTCAAACGAGAGCGGTTTCCCATTGGCCAATTTGGGTCTAGCTACCGCATAAAAGTCACAATTTAAACGAGCGTTCCATTAAGAACCAAAGACGCGCTCTCCACTTGCCACACGAAATGACGACGATTCCCAACATTCTCGTTTTGACAGTCTCCGTTCTGCTTCTGCTTTTCCACTTGTCAGTGGAAGCAAACGAGAAGGCAGGGGAAGGCGACCTGGCTCTGGAAGATCTGCCGCTGGATGAAGATGCGCTTGAAGATGAGGTGATGCTGGGCTACTTGGCCCCACACCGCCTCTACCGTCGGGGATTCTTGCACAGTGGGCGTCTGGGAAAACGCGGTTTCCTTCACTCGGAACGACTCGGAAAAAGGGGTTTGCTGCACTCTGGTCGACTCGGCAAATAAACTCAATGAATCGACTTAACAAGCCCGGTCTCCTGAAGGTTATTTTGACATACGCCTGAATTTATTGCCTGACTTATCATTTAACTCGAATAAAAATGCATAATTTTCCCTTTTATCCCCACATCATATTCATACCAGCAAACACTTATGTAAATCGCGTCTATTTATTTGAAAATGCCTGTGGAATATAAAGTTGCTCCAACAACAAATTTTGCCTTGTGAAACTCTATCAAGGGGCATGACAGACCTCAGTTTCTATGGACCTTTACATTTCATTTATTAGTTCAGAGAAAGTTATTACAGCAAGGGTCATATGCAAGCTATTCCCGTGGTTGATTGAACTACTTTGAGAACTAACGACTATTTTAAATAGGTAAGATATAGGGGAGCACCCGCATTACCTTCTTAGTGGCTAAGGAATCATCTTAATTTGCATTTAAAAAGGGAAATACGAAAAAAAACGCACATGGTCAAATTAGTCCTTTTGTTAAAATGGCAGAATTCCTGGAGAACAGAGTAATGCTGTACACAGATAATGGTTCCATTTACTTTGTTACTGGGTCCTACGGGTTAGAGTAGAGGATTAACCGCAAGATACCGTGGATTGGGTGAAGAAAGCTAGCCATATTTCTTGGAGTGTATGCAGCCTTGTTTTACTTGCTGCACATTCGTGGAGTTTATTTTCAGTGGCCATGCGTCATGGCCAAAGAGCTAAAATTGTATAATGGACTTCAGCTATGTCAGGACATGTGGCAAATGGTGTCCTACACCCACATAGTTCATAGAATGTACTTATGCATGAATTCTACACCGCAGAATTTGTAATTACGTTTCTCTTCACTAATTATAAACACAGATTTTGTTTCCAACTTGCTGCTTCCAAACAGGGAAGCTTTAAGCGACGATCTTTAAATTACTAAGCGTCTTTGATGTAGTAATGTGTCACCGAATGGGTTCAGTTATAGTTGCCAAATTCATATGAAGGCGCCTGAGAGGAACTGAGTGAGGTTTGAGGGCCCAGGGCAGCTTGCGAAAGCCAATATTCTAGTAATACTACTAGAATTTTGAAAGCAATTTATCTGATTCAAGTAATAACTACTGATTCGGTAGTGGAATAGTCAAATTATTTATGCGTGAGTTATTCAAATATTGCACTAAGGATAAAAGAAATGTTGAGGTTTTGTGTTCGTCAGGACCCGCTTTGGCCAATCTCTGAAGCATGGACACCTTCAGCTTGATTGTACGGTCAGTATCCGTGTTAGAATAGGTAACACAATTCGCCACAACCACCCAGTAGTCTAAAACGTCCAGTATAACGATAATATTTAAAGTCAGACTTACATTATAAACTTTCACTCTTTCACAAAATCAGTTTTGAAGGACATACATTGTAATAAATGGAGTTAACCAGCTTCGGGATGAACATCAGAAAAGTCAATAAGAACCAAATAAATCTAATACTTTCTGGGATATCTGAAAGTTCCTCTAACACAAAGATTGACCTAAAAATCCCCCTCAATGTCTTGAGATGGGTAGTGCAAATTGCATGCAAAAATGTGTTTTTGAGCTGATAACACTAAACAGCATTTAGTCGCATCCACCTACTGTTGCTTCAGTCACCAGTGCAATGGCAATCGTATTGACAACACACATGACCATACTGAGTTGGCAAATTACTGTGTCGGTCGCACTGCGGTCCAAAATAACGTGTTAAGCATCCGTTGCTGCTTTGGCTTAGGTTATTTTGTGACCTGAGTTAGGGCAGAACTGCTACTCTGTTAATATATATTTCGTCAAAATTGATTTGTGCCACATCCATGATTTGCATTACAAAATAATTTGTTTGTAAGAAAGAAAGATGAGCCCTGCAAAACGCACTTATTTCAGGTTTAATCACCTGTGTTCGTGAGCCAGCCATTTAAAATCGTCGATCGCGAAGTTTTTTTAGATGAAATATTTTTTTCAAAGAATGGGTTTGATTGCTCCATGAAAAAGTAATTGCGTGTGTGCCAAAATCTCGCTAAACGAATCTCAAATCCCACCTTGCACCACCATTTTTATGTGAAATGTCAGGGCATGTAAAATTCGTCGTCTCTGTATTAAATTGCCAATAATTGTTTTTGATGGTTTCTAGCACTTGAATTAACGTTGCAAACATATTTTTATATAGTTATAATTAGCAGAAGGAAATATGCCTTTCGCAGATTTGCAAAATATTTAGACACCTTTTTTACACAACTGCAACGCCCTTCCTTTCACAGTGGCAATCGCAGATTCAACCCAACAGCAATTTAATCTTTTTTCGCACCACTTTGGTTGTCAGCAAAAATACCTCAACAGATGTTCACCTGATATTAGAGCAAGAAGTACAATTCTTTGTTAACTTTGCTGATTCAAATATGTTTTTTCATGGATGAAAGGTTTTATTTGTAGGAAAGCCCACTAAGCAAACAATGGTCTTTTGATATTACCCAAAGACCATATTCCACATGGGCTTCTCTGTGGGCTTTCATGTTGGTTTGAGATAACTGGCGTTATTTATGCTTAACTCGGAGTAACATTCCGTTCTGCGGATACTCATTTGATATTCCATTGCAATGTTTTTGATATCTGTGTGTAATGTATAATTAACAGTGTACTGTTACCCGGCTGCATGAAGTGATTGGTGTACAGTAACATTCTTCATTTATTGCAGAAACCACGACTGTTGATTTGCTAGCTAGGTAGTAGATATGGAACACTAAAAAAGCATTACAAATGAAACAACTTAGTACAGTGAGGTTTAATTTCCCACGTAAACAGCATGTGCAGTGTATAATTGTCACTGGACTTTTATCTTCCTACACGCTCAGAGGCGTAGGAGGAAATCTGTCAAAAAGTACATATTTCATAATTATCGTTGATTTTCGAGAACCTATTTTACTGCTGCAGTGTATCTTAACGGAAAATAAAACATCTCTGACATGTTCACTGCATTTAGTCCATGAAGTCTGTGTCACACCGAGAAGGCGAATCACCATCCCTACAAATGTCCCTACGAACATCCTCACGCAGTTACATCATCTGACAAAGTTAATGTAGAATTGGTAGAAGTCTGCGGGATAAAGTCTTGTCATTTGTGTGAAGTGCGATAAAGGAACCCATTTAGCGACGTTTTGCTAAACTACGAAGTCATATAGTGAGATGTGCCAATACCAAATAAGAAGCTAACTTCAAGCTAGAAGATTATAATGAATAGCCCTAACAGTAACTTTGTTTACAACAGGATGTGTCGAAATTTTGTTTTAATATGCAGAAGCTGACAACCTGCAACCTACACCATGGGGCTCAGCCGATTAATTGCCCTAGTTGTAAGCTTGAACTCTCTAAACAGATGATGTTACGTGAAGTTTGAACTAAATTTGCCTTCTCGCATAAGTTGTAGGAGTGTTCGCGTGCTGATCACCACAGCTCTTTCTCTATCTCTCTTGCTGAAAGGAACCGGCAGGCCTTTTCTTCCATCCAGATAATTGAAAGATCCGTCGCTGCTGTGGGGCATTTCCTTTGATAATTAGATCAGTATACACTTGGTTTCTAGAAACAGTTTGTTGTTGTGTTTCAATTTGCCATATCAAAAATTATTTCCTGATAGGTTGATCGTATGTAGCAGAAGTGTGGCTCAAGATGAACTAGTCGATTTGGCGTTGCCGAGAAAAGCCCCTTCAAATTATTGTTTCTTAGTTATGTTTTGGCTACTGGTTGCCACCGATAGGTGGATGAAAGTGAATAGGCGTCATCTAGGGAGGATTAAGCTCACCTAGGTCTTACATTGTCGATGTCGCTACCTTTTTATCAGGAAGAATATCCGAAAGTTGACCGTAGTGTGAGGTGTCGGCAATGCGGATGTGACAAAAGGATTGAAAAGAATCGACAGACCTTTTCCTCCACGGAAAGGTTTGCCGCAGGTGTGCTAAAGTGAGGTGTGTGTTCGTTGACTGAGGTGAACACGATAGAGTTGAGAAATGAGGCAAGCGGATGGGGAAAGACGAGGCAAACGTAGGTTGGGAACTACGGCAAGCTAAGTTGATTTAAAATTGAGAGTCAGATTGGATAACGCAACAGTGCAGCTATAACACTTTAGAAACTTCTCAAGTCAATGTTGGTATAAGATTGTCTGACAAGGAAAAACCAGTTGTGTGTCGAATCGACTGTATTAATCAATTACCTGGTATCCTTGTGATACGCAACAAGAACTCCCAGAAGATCTACGGAGTAGCATTAAATGTGACAGCAGACGGAAGTAGCCCTCACTTCTTTTGCAAGTTAATTCGCTTTTTTGCTGACATGCATAAAGCCAATACCCTCTCTACAACAAAAGGTATTATAGATGAGCTGGCAATTTACATTAACGTTGGGCATAATTTTCTAATTTGATTATTGTTGTCTACGTAGCACACAAAATTAAGTGATTATCGCATTCGTCAAAAGTAACCGAATAATTGTGAATACCTGGATCACCTAGAAATGTTAAGAATGGATTTTGCCGCTTTTTAAGCAACCAGCAATTAAATACGGAATTCTGTCGCTGAGGTGTAAAGACAGTCACATGCTGATTGCTTTTCATTTGTTTTAATCAGGATGCTAAAGACTCTAAATCTTTTAATTTAACACCTTTATTTTCCAGAGGTATTACCAGTTGACGGATTACTGATGGACACGGAGTTTTTTCCTTGGAACCATCACACCGCATTGGGGCGCATTAGTAAATATTAATCGTAACATGCCGATTTCTACGCCGCAACGTCTTCCTTGCATTGCGGTTTTTTAATTATCTTCCTTCAACTTATTAACGCAGTGCTTAAAAAATTAAGCGGTGAGTTTGAGAGTTTGTTTTGACTCTAACTCACGCATTAAATCTGTACGAAGAGGAAAAGAAGTGTCAGCAATGACCTGCTGAAAAATTTCTTAAAGAGATCTACCAAAATCTGTTATTTGCGGTCTATACTAAATGAACTAAGGTG